TTACTTAAAATTGTAATGTTTGGCCCTTCTCTAAATTTATTAATAGCTTGAACCAATACCCCAATTACGTGGATTTATTTCTTTATAATTTGGTGGATTCCAAATATTGTATTCTTAAGATTTTCGCTTGAATTCCATGTTTCGTACTTTATCAAATATATATCGTATACCTATAGACCAGTCTCTTTCGCAATAATTTCATTACTTCATTCATTTCCAGTACATATATCATTAATCTCTTCACATACAAATCAAAATTGCATATGCTAGGTATTGCTAAAGTACCTTCCACATTCAAGAAAAATATCTTCTTTTCAAACTATTAATGAATTTGCACGAACTCTCGACTCGCTGCTAGTTGATTGTAAACTTCATCTCAAGTTATGTATGTGGGAACATATGTTAAATTTCTAATTTTATGTACAAAAGTTAACTGATCGAGAACATTATTATACTACCAAGTTTTTATGCTAATTGATTCTCTTCCTGTATTTTTCTACAGGTAGTTAAACCAGGCTTAATTTTTTGTGTTCTCTCTCGTATACTCAATTTTATTTTCCTTTCAAATTCTGTGTGTTATGGGCAGTGTTCTAAAAAGCATAAAGTGTGGCTAGGCGTGGAGGCCAAGTTTCAAGCTTTACGAGCCTAGGCGAAGCTTAGGCGTAAAAAAAAAAGTTTTTTAATTTTAATTTTTTAAATTTTTTTAATCATTGTAAAAAAATTCAACAATTCAAATAATACATATCAAACATCTAAAATTATAAAATACTGCATTTACTTAATAATTCTTTCATAAAGATAAGTTTCAAAATCATAATTACATAACGTAGATAACTTGAAATTTAAATCTTATCTAATCTAACTCGTTATCAAACTCTAATTCAATATCTTCTTCTTCATCTAATTCATCCTCTGTATCATCCGATACGAAATCATCATTCTCGGGCTCTCTTATTTCATTTTGATCATTTCTTGTGCATCTTGTAGGTTGTAATATATCATTCTCCATCATATCATTCTCCTCATCCCCCTCATCATCACATCCATCTACAATCCATGATTGTGCATTAGTAGCATCACTTGCTAGTAAAGTCTCTATTTTGACATTATGAGTTATATTTAAAAAGGGGGGGAAAATTGGCCTTTAAGGAGAAAGCGAGCCTAGCTAAATAGCTCGCCTAGGCGCGCTTTAAGCGGTCAACATTGACGTTGACCGCTTAATTGCCGTTTAGCCTCAAAGCGAGGCGTTTTCATCCTGCTTCACGCCTAGGCGCGCTTTTTAGAAGAGAGGTTATGGGTTATAAGCAATTTTTCCCAACAATTTGACAAAAAATCCTTCTAATTCATAACAAGTTAATAACTAAACAGAAAAAAAGATATACATTACTGAAATTGTCTTTTTCGATTTTTCCGTACGCAGGTTGAGAAAATTTATAGTCATATTGTATATAAGGCTTAAATCGTTAGAGGTATAGAATACATATGTTGAAAAAAATTATTAAGCCCCTATTTGAGCCCCATTTTGGTAAGAAAATATATTTTAAAATAATGATTTATTGAAGAATGCGTGGTTAAAAAAATTCGATCTACATATAACATTATTTTATGGGAGAATGTGTAGCTGAAAATGAGTTTTTGAAAAAATGAAGGTCAGACTTAGGTTAAATAAACTATATCTTTCTCTTCGAGGGAATAATTTATGATTGAAATAGATATGAAAATGTCGATTGAGGATGAGCGTTAATAGAACACAAATAGTTATTAGACTTGTACACTATTATTATATAGAGTAGGAAGAAACATATTTTGCAGTGGACATTTAGGTAGTTGAATAAATTGTGTGGTATTGATGTATTGCACATCCAATGATATTAGTTGAAAATATAAGATCCATGATAATTAATCAACCATCTTTTGTGTCAAGTATCTCAAGTATCATGATGGAACTAAACACTAGATAGTATTTCTATGAAAGACATTAGCAAAGAAAATATCTTTGCGATATATCTACGTATATAATGATATGTAATCATCATATTCTGAAAATGTTTAGAGATATACTTATTGATAGCGTCGAATCGCCAGAATTACATAGAATCTGATACTTAGTATATCAGAAAACTCTTGATTGAGATTTGTATACCCATAAATGAACAATTTTGAGTTCATTTATAATTTTTTACTGGGATTACAAGATAATATTTTGCATGTACATATAAAGTATGTCGAATAGGTTAAGATTAGCTCACTCACACAAGCAATCCCTTCAAATGATTTTGGAATGTATTAAGACGAGACAAAGTGATCGTATTGTGTACATTATCCAGTTACTTTGATGAAATATCAAGATGAGATTACTGTAAGTAATCGAAATAGATTTTTGTTATCCATTAAACCTGTTTAGTAACTAGATCGAGATCTTAGTTTAAAATTGTTTAGGGGAATAAATATAAGGAGAACCCAAGTTACGTATGAGAGGGAGAAAACCACATTGCATGTGTCTCATACTACGTGTGCTTTAACGACCAATATTAGATAAATGAGTGAATTGATCATTGCTTCTTCATTTTGTAAGACCTTGAGGTTTATATAACCTCATAAAACTTTTGACTATTTCTCGAAATTTTATTTATGTGGTGCTACTTTAGCATATTACCAATAAAAATGATTAATTCAATTTGATGGGACATGTCTAGAAAACAATTGATTTAAAATTGAAGAATTCAGATAGGAAAAGAAAACTATTTTGACCGATATTTCTATGTTTGTTCATCGGTTGAACAATTGTGTTTAAATATTTAGGGCATAGAACACAGTTGAGAATACAAGGATACAATGTGTAGTTCAAAGTATATTCAATAAATATTCAAATCATCGAAAATAGTTGAATTAATGTTGAAAATTGAGTTTGGAGTATAACAAGATGTAGTGTTCCTTTAGTAGAGCTACCACCTATCCGTAACATGTTTATAGTACCGTAAACTCTAATATTACTCGCCGATTGAACGATCTATTTGCCGTATGAATTTTTATGAGATAGACCTTAAGTAGGATCTAATGTGTTGTTACTTGTGATTCGGGTCAAGCTTATCATATTTGAGTGAGAGATGTTAGAAAATACGGGACATGGGTCGTCCATGAGGGGTGACCGTCCCGCAAAATATTAAAATGGATTAGAGGGAATGGTTTGAATAGAATTCAAACCAATTATCTCCTATAACTTCCTATAACTCTAATGACTTTTGTCTAGCAATTGGAAGAAAGAAAAGGTAGCAAAAAAGTGTGAAATTCGTATGGAAAATCATACATAAATTGAATACCTAGAAACTTCTATTTAGCATAGAAGTTCACAAAATTAGGTACTTCAGTTGTAAATAATAATTTCGTTCCATTGTGATCGGGGTTGAAATCATTGGAGTGCAAGAAAATGCAAAATTCGTTACTTGAGGTGATTCAACTACATAACAAGACCTTGAAATTCTTCTTTCAAGTAATAATCTTGACCTATAATTTGTGTTAAAGAATGATGTGAATTATTTCATAATCGATGATAATAATTTTAGATAAGTTTACAATCAATAAACTATTGGAAAATCTGCTTAATTAGTTGGTTTGACCAATTATTTAAGTGGGTCTTGTTAGTTGAATAAAAAATTTCTTTGGCCGAGTGTATTCTACTCCACGAGTAGATTAATATAATGTATTTATTTTCTCAAAATCAATTTAAGGTGAATGAGAAATTAAGGCAAAAAATAAATATTTGAAGTTGAAATAAATTGTGAATAAAAATTGGTGAGAAATTGAAAAATGACAATCCCACATAGAAAAACTAGAAGATATTTTTACTTGAATGTGAAAGGTACTCTAGTAATAGATAGCAAATGTAACGTGAATTGCATGTGAAGAGGTTAGTTATATATGGTACTGGAAAAATGAATAAATTTGATGGAAATTAATGTGAAAGAAACATGTCCAAATTTATACCGTATATACATTTATGAAATTATTCTTTTGCGCACAATGGACATGATATGACTACCTACTTATTGATGTGGCAAGAGAACCTTATTTACGGTTCTCTCCAAATATGAGAACCATAAATAAAGTTCTCTCCAAATGGACAAGATAAGATCTTCCATTGTGGATAGGAGAACATTTATGTATATATTGATCTAGCTCTGGTACTATGTTAAAGTAGGTCAATTAGCAATAGATAGAAATATTGTTAAGTTTGTATTTGAAGAACTGTATTTTCTAGGAACACTTAAATTATGAGCGAACTAGTTCGCAACTTAAATCACACTTGATTAATACTCCTAAAGATGACAGCATGACCTTTAAGGACTGTGCATTTTGTTTATAAGGAAATCCCGTAAGTTACTCCTCTATGGGATGAAAATGACAACTTTTACTCAAGTGACGCGAGTAGATGTTTTTGCTAAAGAGTCACAAGTTTCATAACACCTTCGTCTCGACCACCCTCCATTTGATTCATAGCAAATCTATCGACCTTCGTTTGGCTTGATTATCTCTCCTCTCCTATGTCCCTTGCTCCCATTCCAAACGTCTAGCGTACGTGTCTGTCCCACCCTACAAATCTTGAATGAATTAAAACTTAATTGAACTTTTATCATATATAATTCAACTTTAATGAAGTGGAACAAGAAGGATGTTGGAGAACTAAACTATTTGTCTCTTTTCTTCTTTCATTATGATACGCGTACAACAAGATCTTATTAGGAACTTAACGAACTAAGTAAATGAATCATAACAGATAGAACAAAACTATTCCATGACTTGATAGTAAAGTGAAATTTTTTCTGAGAACAAAGTGCACATCACATCCATTTACCAACTATAACAAGCCCCATTTTTACCCTTTCATTGAAAATAACAAGAATTAAACAGATAGAAACATAATCTATCTTTTTACTATTTTACATCGCAACTAGAGAGAGAGGGAGGGGCCAGAAGAGTAATTAAACTGTTAATTATATGAATTAAACTGCACCAACAATGGGTGAAGGTGAATCCAGCTCCACTTTCACTGGTCTACAGGGTTCCATTTCCAAAGTTACAGCACAAATTTCTTCATCCTTTTTCTCCTCTTGGGCATGGGCCTTCTCATCCTTGAAATCTCCACAGTATTCTGAATCAGTTGGATGCACTTCAGGGGTTCCGAGAAATATAATGTTCTTCACATACTCTGGTAATTTTTTCTCTTCTATGACTGGCTTCGGGTTCCTATAGATCCCATACAGTAACATCTGAACAAGTCCCAACCCGAATCCAAGAACATTGGGGAGCTACATATCAAAAGAGAAAGATAAAAGATCAAACTAAACTTAATTTTATATAGCAAGGATTGAATTTGATGATAATTAAATTATAATTTTTTAACTTACTGCAATACACAAATCTTTGAGAAGTACACCATAGGCAAACCACATGACTGCACTAAGTGTCAAGAAAAATGACAAGAAGAATGGCATGAATTCTACACTTTTAGTTCGGACAACTTGAAACTGCTTAAAACACAAGAACAAGAGAAACAATTATTAGAATTAAAAAGCGAAAATTAGATTTTATATTATAGAGAGGAAAAAAAAAAACGACATGGTAACATGAACAATCTTGGGCTAATGCATTTTGGAATAATGTTTTGATGAATAATGTATGGTTGAAAAATATGAAAAAATTTTGGATTTGCGTGTAATATTATTTTATTGACGAATAATATGGTTAAAAATGAGAGAAAGAAAAATGTATATTGAAAATAATGGGGACCAAACAAGGGCTTAATTACCGTAATGCTTAACGGTGCTGCAAACACACTGACGGAGACAGCCACACAAATCCATCCAACCACCCGAACGCGAGTTTCACCATCGAAGATGAAGAACGAGGCAAGAAAAATCACTGCGAACACGGCAACATCGACAAGGCCTAATAACTTGACTGTGTGGTTCTGCAAGAATGAATTTAACTAAAAATTAATACTTAAATAAATTAAAAGTAATTAAGAAGGACATATATGATGTAGTTCACTTACTCTAATAATTTTGGATGCGTACAAAAGGTACAAAGCGATATAAATTGTTTCTATAGCACATCCAAAGGAGTTGATAGATATAAGCAGAAGGGCATTTCCCTTCAAGAGCGCGTAGTACATCCATAGCAAAGACGAGAAGAGTGCTACTATGTATGGTAAAGCATGAAACTGCATCGTCGATTTTTCTTTATATATCCTTATGAACGTAGGCCTGAAATTAAATTAATGTGCATCCTCTAAATATTTCAAATATATAAAAAATTTAATTTTTGCTTATTTGGTTATAGAAATTAATAAAGGGATGAAATACTTACAAAGGTGCAAGATATACACATATAGATATGAGGTTTCCTGGAAAAATAAAATAACTTTCCATCAATATAATATGCATGTAACTAAAAGTCTCTCATTCAATTCCTGAAGCCTAATCTATTTATTTCCATAATCCAAATGGGATTTTCCGAATAAAGTAAAATGGACAAGAAAATAGTTGAACCACCTCGTCTAAAAGAGATGAACATTTATTTAAATCTAAAGAACAAGTTATTAAAAAATGGTTGATTTGCCTTAAGAACCAACTGGCCACTAAATGATTTTTGACTTGTTGAAGTTTTTTGAATAATTACAAGGAGACAAAATAAGTAAATAAAAAATTGGAGGAGCGAACAATTGAACTGCTTGATCTCAAAACTTTAAGACAATACTTTTGTTTTGTTGAAGCTTTTTGAGTAATTATGAGGAAACAAAAACCGGAGATTGAACCACCACGTTTCCAAATTTAAGTTTTAAAAAAACATAGAAATGTTTATTTACTTAACTTTAAACAAAAAGTGTGAAGCACATTAAAAATTATTATTTTGCGTTATGCAAGCTTTTCGGATAATTACAAGGGATCGAAGAAAATGGAAGAAAGGGACTAGAAAATCAGCATATATATATATATATATATATATACCTAAGATACCAAAAACGATCGTCCATTGGTGGTTAACCGTCATGTCTGATACTAAATTCTTAACCCTCTCTTTCTCACTGAATTTTAAGTAATTAAAGCCGAAGGGTCTCTATGAAACCCTCTCTCTCTCTCTCTCAAAATTTCATGTAGAATGGGAATGAAGTATGGAGTGAAGGGTATTTTTATAGGTGAAAGAGAGAGGGTGCGCATTATACTCATCTGTGTTGCATGACTAGTGGATTCATAGTAGGTGGCGTACAATAAAATCATTCACCAAACTATGTATGAATGTCTCCCCACCTCACCCTTGCACTTGCGGGCATGAATTAACTACGAATTCGCATTATTTGCAATTTGTACTGTGCATATGTATTGTTCAATTACCTCGTCTGCACTGCATACAATGAATGGTCGAGATGCCACTTATTTTTTATTTTGATGTATACAATTAAACGAGACTATGACAAGATAACTGCATTAAATATAACAACTAAACTAATCAAAATGAAATGATTGCGTATTGTTAAGGGCGCCCAATTTCTCGATATGTATGATCCATTTACACTATTCATTTTATTATTATTATTATTATTTTTTAATTTTCACTGCTACAATTCGATTATAATACTTGTATATCTTTAAAGAGAGTAACACGTGACTACGAAAATACAACTAATCAAATACAATAAACAATGTGATTTAATATCGTTGAGAGAGCCCAACTTTAAACAAATGAATGATACACGATCTATTTTGTATGTTCATGGCTCCTTTAACTATATTACTAGTCTATCTTTAGAGTTAGACATAACTATGACGGATCACCGGATCCAATATAAAATTAGACCGAGTGATTGAGTATCATTGTAATCGTCTAGTTTCTGGAGACGAATGATCAATACACTTGATCATTTTGGACCTTGATAGCTCCGGTTCAATTACATCGGTGCAACTTTAGACAATACTAAACATGACTGTGATTGAAGAATTGGATCAAAGATGAAATTAAACAGAATGACATGATAGTATATTGTTGGAAACACAATTTCTCAAGACGAATGACTGTATACATGATCCATTTTTGGACTTTGACGGCTATGGTTAGATTATGCTAGTGCATTTTCTAAGAATACTAGACTTGGCACTGACAAGATAATTGAGTCAAATATAAAATAAAAAAACCGACATGATTGAGTATCGTTGAGAGAGCCTAATTTCTCTAGACAAATGATCAATATACACTATCTATTTTTTATTATTGTTATTTTAACGGATACGGTTCAATTATAATATTTGTGTATTTTTAAATAGTACCAGACGTGATAGTAACAAAACAAGTAACTTAAATATAAAATAAATCAAACGATGCAATCGAGTCACGCGATTAGAGCAACGGTGGGATGAATAAAGGGAATTTTATGGTACATTCCCATAAAGCAAAGAACCTCGTTGTTTATGGAAACTTTGAGACGTTTATCTTGTGCTTTCGACATTAATATAGCAGAAAACATGCACCCTGGAATCGCCACCTTATGATTTTTGTCTCTTTCTTAATTATATTACTCTACGTGTATCCTTGTGTTTTCTTGATTTGTTTGCTAGTGTGATTATTGCATGTTTTCGTTTGATTATTTCGAAAACGTTAGAATTTGTAAGGATTTTCGTGTTTTCTTGACAATGAAGTCGAATTGAAATGACGGAGATCACGTTTGGAAAATATATTCATGGTTTATAAGTCACAGGAACCACACAAAATATATGGTTAAAAATGTACTAGGTGTATCCACACCAATAAAAAACTAGTACGATAATTGACTTATTTCCCAGACATTTCGTATGATAAACAACTATGTCATATTCTCAAAAATTAAGATAGTAATTGTTTCTGTTTTCCGTTTAGATTTTGGATCGAAGTGTGAATGTTAGATGGGAGTCATTACACGTACTTACACCAATAATGCATCAATTTTGAAGATAATCATAGAATTAATAAGTCAAAAACCCGAACAATTAACAAGAAATTACGAGAAATCTATAATTTATTTTATTCGACAAAATTAAAGACATAAGTTGGAATAATTTGACGTAACTTTAATACCCTTAGAAGTAGGACATCTCAAAATTTAATGTTTTGAAGATTTTTCCAGTATTGAATAGGATTTTGGAATTGTCAATTTCAAGCGACGATAAGTTTATATGATTGAAATGAATAGATCGAAATCCATGCATATCATTTGTTGTATGATTAAACCGAGAATTGAGCTCAACCAGTTATCATATATGCATCCATGGCTGATAGTATTTATATTATATGTGGTGATCAGACTATTTGGTGGAGCCCAAATTTATTTAAAACTGAACATGTGTCTTCATGAAATGCTTATCTTCTCTTCAAAATTTTTACACGGAATCCCAACAAATGAATGATTATTGATGTGAGATCAAATGACACGTTAACATCTGTGTTCGTACAATATTTTCATTCCATTTATCCTCTCCTGAAAATATGATATACTACTCATATTTAGATTGAAATTAACATTCTGGATTAGGTATTTGATGTGAATAGCTATGAGTAATTGTAAATAGAATCAAACGATAAGCATCAATTTTGTTAAAATTGAACAATTTCGATTGAAAATTCGGAACTCATTTCGTCTGATTATAAAATAAAAGCTGACAAATTTTAAAATTGTTAAGATTATTGGGAAAATTTGTTCAAACGAAACAAGAAAAAATAAATTAAGAATTGGATATAAACAACTTAAAATAAATTCTTTGTTTTGGATTACGTCCTTTAATTGTACACTATCTAATCCTGTATTTAAGAATAATCACAAAAATCCTTTCGTGTGTGATATTCCATGTATGTACTTACCTTCTTTGAAGGGAAGAATACTGGAATTGTAATTATCGCTTGCCTTAATTTTCAACAATTTGATCATTAATGGCACCAAAACCCAATTTGGAAATGAAATGTGCGACTGTCATATTTTTTATATTTATTATATGAGTTAATTTGTCAGGCCAATAGGGACTTTGAAGATTATATCAAAATCATTCGTTATGTTTACATTTGCTCACTTTAATTAATAAAAATAGAAAAAAGCATTAAGATCATTTTCGTAGAGTTTAAAATATAGTGAACAAATGATTATTACAACTACAATGTGGAAAATATAAACTCTCGAAGTATAAAATCAAACCAAAAAGACTCAAAGCTTCTTCAACACTACTAATGGAGTGTCGTATGACGTTGAGCTTGCCACACCGGATCATGCGCCGTCGTCCACGAGAACGATAATGGATATTCCGAGAAATAAATCCGTCGGAAGCCACCAAGAATTTTGCCGGTGATATAAACTTCTCCAATTTGGTTACCTATCTATGCTTACTCTCTTTTGTTATGTCAAGTTCAAAATGAAAAGGTGAAGGAGTCTTGTGTATTATAGAGCCAAATATCCATTTGAATTCAAATTCAAATTCAAATATTGTACTATGAAAGAGACATGACTAGTATGTGTATTTGACGACAAGATTAAATCCATGCGCCATAATACACATCAATTTGCACAATCATTTCAAAGTGCTCAAGACAAATACTCATGCGCCGAGTGGATCAAATTGATCCACCTCACAAATTTTCACCTTGGATCACATATAATCCACCGTCAAATTCCCCGGTTACAAGTCATTTCACTTAGTGTGGTCTTATTTTATCATCATCGATCACTCCAATTCAGTACATGCAAAACAATTAACCATTATCAATACTCAATATTGATAAACATTTGTTGAACTTACTGATCACGAGTACTTTTGTTCCAACATCTGTAGGGTTATCATCAGTTGCAATTTTATGCAAAATAAAATCACTAGAAACTAACTTTTCCCTAATGAAGTGATACTTCACCTCAATATGCTTACAACGTTCATGATAAACAGGATTTTTACGCAACATCAAAGAACTTTGACTATCAGTATAAATCATGGCATTATCATTCAAGAATTTTAATTCACATAGAAGGCCTTTCAGCCACATGCATTCTTTTACGGCTTCAATTAATGCAACATATTCTACTTCTATGCTGGAGAGTGTAACTATAGAATGCAACTGTGATTTCCAAGTGATACAGTTATCACCTAAAGTGAAGACGTATGAAGTGGTAGATTTCCTCTTATTTTATCTCCCGCAAAGTCAGAATCTACATAGCCTTTTAGCTCTAACTTATCACTTCCCTTTTTAAACACTAACCCCCTTTTTAAAGTTTCAGCCAGGTATCTTAACAACCATTTAAGTGCAGTCCAATGAGACTTACCTGGGTTTAACATAAACCTAATCAAGAAACTAGCTGCATATGCAATGTCCGGTCTCATGGTACTCATAGAATACATCACAGACCCATGGCATTAGCATAGGGAACATTACTCATTTCATGCAATTCTTCTTCAGTTTTGGGGTATGGTGCAGATGACAAATTTATGTATGCATCTAATGATACATTGACAAACTTAGCAAATTTTATACCAAATTTGGTTATCACTTTATCCAAATAAGACTATTGAATAATAGTCATCATATTATTAGCCATATTCCTTTTAATAACCATGCCAGAATTTTTCTTGCCTCCTAAGTCTTTCATGTCAAATTCTGATTTTAAAAAGTTTTTCATCTTTATGATTTCAACTTTACTAGGATTAGCAAACAATATATCATCCACATATAACAAGAAATAAACTTCACAGCCTACTTTAGAGTTATTAAAATACAGACATGCATCAAATTCACTCCTCTTAAAACCAATTTTAAGTAAGCATCAAATCTTTTATACCACTGCCTAGGACTTTGTTTAAGACCATAAAAGGACTTTCTAAGCAAACACATAAGTTCCGATCTTTCTCTCATCTCAAACCCTTGAGGTTAAGACATGTAAATCAATTCATCCAACTTCCCATGAAGAAAAGCCGTCTTAACACCTAGTTGCTCCAACTCCCAATCATATTGGACAACTAAGGCTAAGACTAACCTGATAGTTTTATACT